AACAAGCTCGGACTTGAGCTCAAATACCATCAAATTGGACTGCCAGTCACCAAGTGGGAGGTTCACATTGTGGAGCGCCCAAGTGGAGAACCCTTGCAGTGTGAACAGCCATATATATCACTTCGATCGTAACCCTTGACCTAGAATAACTGTTGCTCACGGAAACTTTTTTACTACTGGGCTGATTGTGGAGTTTTAAGTTGCTGGCGGCGCAAAAGCTCGATACGTTGCTGTCATCAACTGTAATGACGACTTCACTTTTCGTACAAGGGCACGTAGGACTGACGAGTAAACTTCATCGCATTGCGCGTGGCTCGCAGCATGTGTTGTCTAGACCTGGCTCAGACTTGCCTTTTACAACGTCATTGTCAAAAGGAAAGCCAGATTCTGTCGTGCCGACAGGGTTTCTTGTCGAAACTGCACAGTTGGCACGTTGTCTGAGTGTATGCTTCCTCGACTCGGAAGTATCTGTGTTGTCATCACCGCCAGGACGCAAAAAGGAAAGAAAAAAGGAAAGAAAAAAGAAAGAGATGGGTATCATGATAACAGTGTAGTGCCCTTTACTCTTCCACTCTCCATCTTTGCTGTTCGAGAACCGAATTGGATCTGCGGTTCGAAGTCAGCAGCAGTCACTCAAACGACGGACAAGACATCTTACAGCTCTCTTCTTTTCGGAGGCCACACCGCTCATGCCCAGCTCCAGGGCCACAAGCCGCAGAACTCGTTTCCCGGGCTCGACCGCCCCATCGACCTGATCAAAGTCACACTTCTCCCAGACTGGCACACCGATAGCCCAGCGCACCAGCTCTTCATCCAGAAACGGAAAACGGACCTCCCGGCCCCAGTGTGACATGACACGATCGTCTCGACCCAGGTTGCGCTTGCCCAGCCTGCTGACGTCGAGCTTGAGCTCGTCGATTAGGCCAGGATACCCTCGCCTCTCAAATGCTGTGGCATGGCGGACATAGCCTCCAAAGAGCTCATCGGCACCGAGTCCTGAGAGCAGTACTCGTGCAGAGGTCGTAAAGGGCACAGACTCGTCTGATGCGGCATCGGCAAACGCTGTGCCTTGCCCACGGGCGGCAAAGTAAAGGGCGCAGGCAATGGACAGGTCCATTTCCGTGTTGTGGGGGAAGATCAGCGACGTGACTTCGCTCTTATGGCTGAGGTATTCGACATAGGGGATATTGACCTGTGGCATGATGAGAGGCTGCCATGGCATATGAAAGGTGCACATCGACGGGCAGGATTGGCTTACACAAATGAATTGCCAAGTCCGCCCCGGACAGACACCCTGGAGCTCAGCGAAGGACTTCCTTCCTGTGATTCTGTCCGGGCAGACCTCGTAAATATCAAAGGAGTCAAGATTGTTTTGGTCCTTTGACTTCTTTGCGTTGGCCGCTACTCGAGGGTTCTCGAAAGCGACGTTGATCAGGTCGATACTTTGATCGAGGGGAAGGAGATCATGGCAAAGCCTTGCCAGTACGGTGCAGTCAAGACCGCCAGAAAATAAGACAGCCACTCTAGATTGGGGTTGCTGATGAGACACTGAAGGCGGTGTGAGCACGTTCAAGACACGCAATTTGAGCGACTCTACCAGCTGGTCCCTTAGCAACCTGACCGAAGCTGAGCCTGGAACCAATGGAGTTGTATGTCCTCCGGCTGGTATTGAGTCGTTGAAACGTCCAATAGCAGAGACCTGAATGGGTAAGTTGGACAGTATTGTTGTGATGGACAGGGCATCAAGTACCCGCTGCAGCAGAACTCACAAAGTGCTCGGCATCCTCCCCGTCCAGCCATGGTAGACTGGCAATGGCAGAATCGACTCCGTCCACTTCACTGACTCCTGTTTCACTTGAAGCTAAATCCAGCATATACACTCCATCGGCCTCCACTTCCTTCCACTCTGGATCAACAAAGTCCGCAATGCTGGATAGAACTAGCCCCCGCACATCTTGTCGAATGAGCAGGGACCGTCTCCCAAGGCGATCGCGACCAAAATAGATCTTCTTCGAAGGCTTGTCGAAGAACACAAAAGCAAAAGGGCCATCAATGGACCGAAGTACCTTCAAAATCGCGCCCTCGCGGTCCGACGAGCTCTGCGCGACAGCCTCGTTCAAGAGACCAGCAAGCGCCTCACCATCGTTGCCAGCGACATCATGATGGCGGATCTTCCAAGCCTCGCCATTCCAGCAAAAGACAGATCCACTTGCGAAGTCAACGAAGGGCTGCTGCGCGATATGATCGCCGCGCAGAGCAAGGACAGTAGAGGTGAAGGCAAGATGTGTCGTTGGTGCGTCGTCAAGCGTGTCATCCAGACGCGTCTCGTGAGTGCGAATATGATCCGGGCCGCGATTGCAGAGACATCGCCGCAGGTGTGCTGGTATCTCGTCTGATTTGGTGGGAGAGATCACGACATGTATACCACACATGATACCATTAGCGCAGCCCTGAAGTCGTCGTGTTGAGGTTTGAGCATAGCGCCAACCCAAGAGGTCAATTTCTGATGCATACTTGCAATTCACTTGCAATGAGAGAGAGTACAGGGTTAGGGTATTGAGGCACATATCATTGCCTCCCCCCCGGGATCCTACCCTCCTGGCAAGCAAAGCAGATGAACGCACGAGCGAAGACCTGAGCCAGGCGTTCGTTCATTTGTTTAGATGATCTTGGTGTATCATCCAGGAAGCATGCTGCCTGATTGGGATCTCGGCGCGGCGTACATGATGGGCCAAGCGTCGACCTATGTACATAGTACATGTAGGTCAGCTATTTAATTCCCTCATCTTTCCTCTTGGAACTGGCTCTGAGACAGAAATTCCATGTGCGCGCACATGTGAACCCTATTTTTCATCTAATATGCAATTGATGACCTCCAAATGATCAAAATACCCACTACATGCTATGCCAATGATCGCTAAACTAAAATATCTGACAGAATGACAGGGTCTATGAAGTGGTAAAACATCTAGATAGATAATAAAGCACCGGTAACCATGCTCTTAGTGACTAGATATCCCAACCACCGCTGACTGGATAGGCCACAGCCGTGATAAAGCTGCTGTCCCCGCTCAGAAGGAAGAGCACCATATTCGAAACCTCCTCAACCTTGGCTGCTCGTTTGAACAACTGCCGTGATGCAACTTGCTCTGGGGTGAGTGCTGACCCAACTTGCTCAGTAAACGATTTGAGCATTGGCGTATCCGTCATTCCCCTTCTTTCGATTAGCAAATACACTTTCGTCCCGATGAGGTACGCTCTCCAATCTACTCACGGGCATACAGCATTGACCCTGATACCCCGGTGGGCGTTCTCCTTGGCCGCCGTCTTGGTCAAACCGATCACAGCGTGCTTGGTCATGCAATATGGCGATAGGAATGGAACAGCCGTCAGGCCACCCATGCTCGCAATGTTGACAATGCTTGCGCCATCAACTACGTTGGGCAATTGTGACCGGAGCGAATTGAAAGTTCCTTTAAGGTTGATGTCGATGACGAGATCCAGCTCCTCCTCTGGCACGTTCGGTATATCGGCCATTAAGCCCATTACACCTATGTAAAATGTCAAAAAGATCTTCGACAAGCTTGGCAACGTACCAAATTTATACCATTATGCATAGGAAGGGGTTCTCTTACCAGCGGAATTTACACAGCCATCGATTTTGCCAAAGGTTTCCTTGGTCTTGGTAATCCATGCGTCTACCTGGTCTCTTTTCCTAACATCGACAACTTCTGTGATCACTTTGCAGCCGGGGTAGACGGCCGTGACACTTTCTCGAGCCTTTAGCAGCTCCTCACTCTTGACATCAACTAGCGATAGCGAGGCGCCTCGTGCGGCAAGATGCAACGCGATGTCCAGCCCGATCCCACCTGCAGCACCAGTAACGGTATAGACTTTACCCTCCATACTCTGTGTGTTGGTCATGATTATGATCTCGTGGTGTTGTATCAGGCGAGCAGTGCCGTCGGAACAGAACTTGGAAGCGATGACGGGCGTAATTCGAAATATTGGGCAATCTTCGTTGCTGCAAAGGTTACCAAGACTGGGAACAAGTAAGGCTTTACGTCTTATATCTTCGCTCTGTCAGAATATCACGTCTCTGAATCCTGGGCGATCTACAATTCAGGAGAGATGTTTCCAGGGGATTGTTATATAGGTTCAGGAAAAGTCGGACTTTTGTGACATGACTCCCCCTTTCGACCATCACGGACATATCCGAGCACAGGGCTATGATAGGACATACAAAGCCATAACAAGCCGTACCTCATACAGCATATTGTATGAAGATTCTGCTCCATAACAGACCCTCCTCTAGTGGAATTGTCCCGCATCGCTGATATACGATCTTCGTGATTTAGCGAATCCTTAGTTCTCCTCATGTAGAAACGGGCTGACATAACTCATCCGGCTCACGAGACGTCTCCATGCTCTAGGTTAGACAAAGCCCTAAGTCGGGCTGAAGAGGAAGGCTGATGAAGGACAATACGAAGCCCTGCCTATTGTGCTCATAGTTCCGCACATAGAGCCCCACACAAGGCGCAGCGCCCTCCGATAGTGATACAAGGTGTTGCGGATACGCTTCCAACATCGAAACCCGACAACGTGTCGATGGCCATTGGAGCTTCCATAGTCTGCTTCTAGAACGTTGATGGCTCGGGGAATCGGGAACAATAACGCGTGGAGGCGAAGGTGCAGCGTTTCGTAAGCTACCTAGAGCTTGAACGGTGCGAATGCCGGTACCCGGTTCACGGGCATGGCAGGGTCATGAAAACACACGCCGAAGTATGATGAATTGATGAAAGTAAATTCTACGACAGAAATTGTGAAAAGGGCGAAGAACTAAAGAACGAAACGGTGATCATGTTTTAATCGTAAGGACCAACCGTGTCACTAGCAATTTAGGCCAAGTCGAATTGCGCGGGACGGGAATGCCCAGCTGACCCAGCTACCGAGTCGTGCTTTGGCGGTATATGAATTTAATTTGTGCGGGATTTTACAACAGCTGCATAGCTCAGGGGAAGAGTGAGTTCACTTCCAATTCCAGTAAAATCAATCAACTCATACTAACAAATTTCCAGGCGCCGGGCTCATATAATTGCCACCCGGAGGTCCAAGGATCGAAACCTTGTGCAGCTATCATTTTTTGCCTTTTTTACAATTTTGCTCATCCTTTCTTGTCTTGATTTTGCCATTTGAACTTTGTTCACTATTCTGGTGGTGAACTCTTTGAGGTTGCAGGACTTTATTAGTGCCTGAGCCTGCGGATTTGATTTCCACAGTCAATTTTAGACTTCCAAGGTTCCTGTTGATTGAACAATAGTTTATGAAGTTTCTTGGAATCTCTCCACTGTTCGCTTCTGTGACAGCACGGTTAAGTTGCTCAAGATTGAAGTCGCTAAGTTTCATGGTGACTTTTTTTGAGAGTATTTTCATTTGACCTTTTACATAATATGACGGGACATGCCTATCAGGGTAGATAGAAACTTCCCACTTTCAACTATATGACTGTTATAATGCCTAATTCTAGTTGGTCCTTTTTACAACAAAGGCACCCCTCTCGATGGTGTTGATAACAATGTATCCCGACTTGAAGAAAGGATAGTGACCCCAAGTGCCCACAAAATCGACAACACCACCGCCGGGCAAGGCATCGTCCTCTGGGTAAATGTCAAAGTACGCAACCTGGCTGACACCCGCGCCTGTTGGGTCCGCCTCTAGCGACGACACATCCAAAACATGCAGGCCACCACCATAGTTCGATTGGTAGGCAAACCCATCAATGACGAACTGGTTGTGGTCGATACCCTTGGCGTACGTGTTGCGGAAGAAACCAGTCAACTTTGGCGCCGTGAGCGAAGTGATGTCCCAGAAGTAGGTCACAGGGTACTGCTGGGCACCTTCACCCGCTACGTCTTCCTCGTCGTACTCGTCATCCAGCACGAGCCTGGTCTGCCACTGCGTGTCGGTGACCCAGCCTTGGTGCGTGTACGACGCGCCAGTGTAGCCAGTGCGCGACAGGATCTTGGATGCTGTCTTGTCCGTGACGTCGTAGATGGTGAGGGTGTCCTCGTTGTAGGCGTAGCAGATATCGCGTCCCACAAACTGGGTATCGGGGCCGCGGTAAACGAGGCACTGCGCGTCGTGTACGTACCCATCGCCGGCAGCGCAACCGGGCGAGGTAGGGTTGGCTGGATCGGTGAGGTCGATGAAGATCAGACCTGATGCGCACGCGGCAGTGCGAGGCGCAGCACCCACGGCCACGGCGAAGTTGGACTCCTCGTTGACGACGGTGTTGTGCGTGCGTCCGATGGGGAGTCCGTTGAAGTAACCGGTCAGGTCGTCGCTGTCCAGGTTGTCGAAGGTCTTGGGGCTGGCAGGGTCAAGGTCGACGAGCTTCGACATGTCAAAGATCTGAATACCGTGTTGCTCGGCTTCACTACCAATGACAATGAAGTTCTTGTACCCGCGGATCTCACGCCAGATGATGGGTTCAGCCGTGGGGTACTGAGGGAGGCGACCGAGATAAATCTGCTTTGATGTGAGCATGTCTTGCATCTTTTACATTTGCGAACAGGCCAAAAGCTGCAGGGCAGTGACTCACCAGCTTTCCCTCTGGGCTGACCTCAGAGAAGGAAGCGCCGTCAGCCTGAGCGATCGCAATGAACTCTCGGCCCTCAGGGCTTGTCCAGCCCCAGGTCGATGAGCCCTCGCCCGTGGCACTTCCAAGATCTGCGTGACTCTTGAAGTCATAGAAGTCGATCTTTCAGTGTCAGTAAAACGCAAAAACAGTATCAAAAGTATCTCATGGTCATCTTACATTGCTGCACCGGAAGGTATTATTAGTATCACCGGGGATGACTTCAGCAACACCGTCCACACACGACACAGGAGCAGCCCCGGCAAAGCTGGGGTACAGATTCGAATCAAAAACACCAGCGGCTTTTTGGGCGTTCCAAGAGGCCTTGAGTTCGATGTGAGCATGACTTTCAACACGGCATCGTGGCCATATTTGGGGATCAACTTACATATTTTCTCTGCATGATACCGTCCATAACAGCACCGCTGGTGTACTTCTCCTGCTTAGCAGGGTTGGCGATTTCACGGACGGCCACCACAAAGGGTGCGCTCGCCAAGACAGTCAGGCTTCCAAGTCTCATGATGACTCTTGCTGGGCACCTAGGTACGGCCTACTGTGAACAAGAATAGACAAGGACTACTATGCACAAGTCAAAGTATGCGTTGGGACAACCCAAACCATCTCCAGGATTGTCTTGGGGGTCGAAGCCCTTCAATTTATAATGGAAATACATGTCGCCATCGTCGATGTCTATTATGATTTTCAGGTGCGACTATCTGCCAAGGTTCTATATGTGCGATATGCTTACAGAATACATAATGAGCTATGTACTAAATAGGTAGGTGTGAGCACGGCTCGATTTATCCATAGCTTTTTACCTTGTTACGACATGCTTGCCAAGCTTCTGATAGACGTTGTGAATGGTTGCTTAGCCTACTTGGCCCTCTTGGCTATAGCGATCATCCGCAGTATATTTTACAATATCAAGGGCAGGGCAATTCAGGCCTATCAGAATATCAGCCAAGGGAAAGCTACTTCATTTTGCGGTCAAAGCAATCGCCAAGAGACAGGTGCGGGCAATGGGCCTATGGAATCAGGCTAACTGCCTATAGCGGTTACTGGACCGTACAGCAAGTCCTACAAAGCCAAGAGGAGGGGAATGTGACCTTCTGTAAGCGTTCAGGAGAATCCATAGGATTGCGAAGGATATTCTAAATACGAATGATATCTAGCGTACTTCGTATAGATTTCCAAGAAAATAGTAATCTCACGCGAGTTGAAAGCAAGCTCTTGGCCCTCAGATAGCCCAACATACTTATTTCTCCACTGCCTTGGTGTCAAGTGACTCTTCACCAGAGTGTGCGCTTTCCACGCCAGTGATTCCTTCTACAACACCCTTGCTCATTGCTGCTGGGTCGATTTGCGGACCGTCGTAGTTCTTTCTTCCATCTACGATCCACTGCACGACGGCTATTATCAAAACAACACCGAAAGCAACGACTGCGTAATTCATGTTGTCCCCTGTCACGGGGTTGTCGGGAGGGAATACGAAGAGGACCGTCGTCAGACACGTCCAGGCAATACCAACCTGTATTAGTTGATGTTAGCAAACCTAGTCAATCAAAAAGAGGTTGATCATGAATGGAAAAACTGACCAAATTTGTGGTCCAGCCCAACCAGTTTGGCATCTTGAAAGCTCGGCTCTCAGGCAACATAGTGCGCCCTCGCAAAACGTTGATCGCAGGGGGGATGGCATATGTCACGCCGAGGGCAACAACACTTGCAGCCGTGATGGCGTTGAAAGCACTCGAAGAGCCAAGGAAGACACATCCGAAGATGATGACCCAAGCGGCTGTCCAGATCAAAGCGTTCAGGGGGACATCCAGTCCAGCGTGAACCTTGGCAAAGACACGGCTGACGGGAAGACCTCGGTCGCGGGCGAAGGCGTAGCTCATGCGGCTGCTCGTCGTCATGATCGAGGTGGTCGTGAACAGCATGCATACGATGGGGAACATGAGCAGACAGACGGCTCCGGCCTTGCTGCTTGTCGCATCGTATAGGATCTGAAGAAGGGGGCCGGCCGCGGATGCAATTGTGTTATCCAAATCCTTGAGCACGAAGAGCAAGCACATCAAAAAGATGAAGCCTGTAAACATGCCGATGACGATGCAGGAAAGCATGATCCTAGGACCCTCAATCTGTGGCCTCGGGCTATAGATTTATCAGGTAAATTAGCCATTTGCTTTTCTTCTCCTTCCAAATTTGGAATGTTGCACCAACTTACATTTCTTCAATCATGTGGATGACTGCGTCGAATCCCGTCAGGGCAAAGGCACCCTGCAAGAGACCAAGGAGCCACGCCAGTCCATCGGGCCAGCCACTCTCGTTGATGAAACCGCCGAAAACAAAGGAGGCACTCTGATAATTGGGCGTAGCGCATGAGAGGACGGTGATGCAAATGATCGCGAAGCCAGCCAGTGACCAGAGGAAGGCGGCCTTGTTGAAATAGGGTAGCAACCTGTTCATAAAGGCATTGATGAAGAAGGCAGCGAGTGTATAGGCGATGTAGATTAGGAATTGGTGCCAATTCTCTGCCTCGTAACTAGGGTGCAGCAAGGAGATGACGCCCAAAATCAATTGACTGCCCAGAAGTCCACCGCTCGCCGTCAGACACACCCAGGCAGCTACATTGATCCATCCTGTGGAGTAGCTGATGATTTTGGCGAAGCGTGGCCAACTGATGATTGCGGCCCAGTGGTACTGACCACCAGCTGTCGGATATGCGGATAAGAATTCTGCGAGTGATGCGGCGAGACATAGGTTGCAGAGACCAGCCACTATAAGACCCCACAAGATGGCACTTGAGCCTCCGGAAGGAAGGGCAAGAGACAACGAAGCGGCGAGAGCCGTCCAACTGTTGAGGATGGCAAAAGCCAGGCCAAGCATGGATATTCTGCTAAAGTTTCGCTGGAGCTCTTGCTTCACGCCAAGCTGTTCGAGGGCTGCGGACTCATCGACGGCACCTCGCTGCTGGGTGACGCCCGACTCGGCCATGGTGGGCGGGTTGTCCGGGTGGACTGTCGACTTCAGCCTTCAAGAGGCGACTGTCGGAGAGTGTCGAGAATGTAGGTACACTAGCCTGTGTGCAGTCACTTGGCGAGCCGAGGGCCAGGAGAAGATGAAGTCGAGGGAGAGGGGAATCTCGTGCAAGTGAAAGCAGAGAGGCGTGTGGTTGAGAAGATGGACGTAGTGCACTAGGGTGAAGAAGTTTATACATAGGGCTTATGATGTAGGGATCGCCCCCGTTGCTTCCCGAAGATTTGGGACCCATTTCTCGTCTGTACTTTCCAAAGTCGGCGTCGAGACTGGGGGTGACGGATGACCGAGTCGCTCACGTCCCTATCGATGGTAGCGTCAGGCTTGCCTAGCCTGCCTGGTCCTGCTGGCTTGCGTATGGCTGTCCCGTCCCCACAGCCATCCTGGATGATCTTCCAGCACTAATCTGGGCGTCCATTGGCTCCTCTACTGCGCCGCTGCGGCCCTTGATAGACGGGTCGGT